ATTGAAACTCATGTTACTGTGGTTGTTGTGAGAATCTGTTGTTTCACTGTCAGGGCACTACCAACCCTAGGAAACAGGGTCCTCCTCCGTCATGGCCAAGGACAGTAGCATTGTCGTCTGCCATGGGTCTGTCACACTCACCATAAGTACCAACCACCTACACACAACATACATACCACACTCAACAAACACTATTAACACATAACACACAGCACATACCACTTAATACACATATACAACACATGCATATACAACACCACCATTTAACAAACAGAGCACATACAACACTCAGTCCACAAAATGAACATACATGCACAACACACCTTACACACCTATAACACATAAACAGGATAAACAGCACACATGCATGTTATGGGCACACAAAAGCCTCTCAATGCAGAACACAGACAGGCACGCAGAGCCTCAAGTCCTCTGAGGGACAGTAATATTGAGCATTAACTCCAGATCAAGCTTCACTTGAGAAAGCTCCAAATATTTCGTCCACACTCACTTTAGAGCAAGCACATCTGAGCAAGATGAGTGCATGACCCATCTAGATAAAACACAGCCTTGTTCCAGGTGAGGGAACTCCTAGAACAAAATTGATGGACTGATAGGGGTAAGTGTAAGGGAGGAGTAAATATACATTTAGATGAATGTATGGATATGTAATTGAAAAGTTATGTGGATGGCTGGATAGGTGGGTGGGTGGGTGAGTGAGTGAAAGGATGGATGGTCCCTGTATAATTGGATAGACGTGTTGATGGATGAATACATAGATGTATAATTTGATAGGCAGATAGCATGTATATGTAGACAGATTATGCATGGGTGGGAGATGGTGCAGAAGTCTGAATGGTTAGAGCATAAATGGTAAGTGTTGGTTGAGTAAGGAGACACTTGTCAGTGAGTATGTCAAAGGCCCAAATGGGTTTAAATTTCACTTGTCCATCTAAGAATGGTGTGACTAAGAGTGGAGGCCATATCACAGAGCTTGGGTAAAGTTGACCAGCTATTGGAAGCATCTCCTAATCAGAGGCAAGGGAACAAAGAAGAAAGAATTGCTGAATTTTACCTGCTCATGTTCATGTGTGTGTTTGTGTGCAGGTGAATGTCTAAGAGTTTATGTATGTTTTCAACTCTACGTCTATACGTGAATGTGTCAGTGTGCTGGTGGATGTGTCTGTAGGTGAGCATGTTTGTGTCTGAGTAGCATGTCTGTGCCTAGATTGTATAGGGCTTAGCATGTATCTGCCTGTTTGTCTAAATGTGTCTGGGGAGCCTTTGGCTGCGTCTGAGAACCTAGTGTGTGTCTGTGTCTGTGTGCTGTACATCTCCACCACACCTAATCCCGGGACTCCTTCCTTGTTTCCTCCCAGCACACTGCCAGTGCTGGGCTGCTAAATATTTAAGAAACAGCTCTTAAGGCAAGGGTTTAGAGAGCCCTAAAATTTACATTTTGTCATTTCCACAGGGTAAAAACCTTTTCCTGACTGATTTCTAGTTTCCCAGTCTTTGAAGACAGTCTGGTCAGAGTTACATGTGCACAGCCAACTTGTCAGTGCTGATAGCAGGTCCCAGGATGCCTCAGGCTGGGCTTAACTCTTCACTTGACAAAGCTTCTGTTATCCCATTCCACCTTAGTTCCATGGCCAGAAGTAACTCCTAAGGGATTTTGGGGGCCCTGGCATTTACAAGACAGCCCAGAGAGGCCTTTCTATCTCTGTCTGCCCTGCTGAGATGCACGATGCTGGGTGAAAACACAGAGATACAGCAGGGCTCTCGAGGAAAAGGACCAGGAGCTCCTCAAGATCAGCAGTTGACTAGCTTCAGCCCTAGGGTTCATCCTGTCCCCTAAGCATGGAAGATCTGCCAACTCTTCCATCCATGCTACCTCCAGGAAGCCCTCCCTGTTGCACAGGCCACTAATTAACACAGGAAGCAGCACATTTGCCCTCATGGGTTCCACCGAATATGTGCCAGAGGATCCAAATATGATGAGTAATACCATTTGCTCATCCATTCTAAAAACTGAATCTTTTCTTACCCTCTGTTTGTACCTGTCCTGCTAGATGGTGAGAGTTCAGAGATGGTGATATAGCCTCACTTTCATGGAGGTCATTAGGATGCACCTCCCCCTACTACAAACACTCACTGTTTCATGGCTCTGTGCCTTGACTTTTTCCTATACCCTGTGAGGAGACGTGATCTTACAGGCATGTATTAACAAGCAACAACCCCACCAGGTCTGAATCCTGTGTCAACGTAGTCCACACCAAGTGGGCCTACCCTCCTGCTGCACCCCACTTTGGACTGAAAACACCAGCCCTTCAGAGTACCTCAACTTGACAGGATAGCTCTGACTTGGGCCTACTCCCCTTCTTTTAACCCTCCTGCCCCCTCTCACACACATGAGGATGCAGTACAGGGCTCTCTGCCCCTCTACCCAGGGTTGCTTTCAGAAGTCAGGTATAGTCCTTATCCTCAGAAAGGAGACATCAAGGACCGTACCCTCAGAAGATGGGCTTGGGAGATGATGGCTGCAGTTTCTGCTCTCATCTAAATCTGGCAGCGTGAGATGGTCGTTGCTACAGTCTTCCCCACTCTGTGTCTCACTATCTCTATGTTGGTTATTGGCTCTGCTGCCTTGGCCTGGCTAGAACCTGATCCTTGCTGCTCCTCTTATCCAATCACAGTTTCTTCAGTAGCCATCCTCTGCAGTGAGGGTGTGGCCCTATCTGTCCTGTCTCCAGTCCTCCATGGCTCTCTACTGCCCTCAGGGCCAAGTCCAGGGCCCTAAACTTCTGCTCCGAGTCTAGACTGGTTTTACCTTACCTACCCATTCCCATCCTCTCTAAGCCAGGTTCTGGAGCCCCAGGTCTGTTGCCTTTTTCTTGGCTATCTCCTTGTGGGCTGTCATCATATTTTAGTTCATCTCTGGATAAAATAACTTACATTTGTCTGTACCTCTTTCACTCACAAAATTTGAGTGTCGGATATATATCAGAAAGAATTAAGGAATAGAAAGTGGGTAAGGCTACAATCAAACACACAGAGCATCACATAAGAGGAACAGACAAAATAAGGGAAAGGGCAGACTGGATACAGTCAAGGGCATGGAAAAGGATGGAGAAGTGGAGCAGGAAAGAGGAGGGTATTCTAGTTGCCTGGGGAGAGTTGCGAGGATCAGTGCAACAGTTCAGTAACAGAGTCAAGGGAAGTTTTATTCAGAAGATGGTGTGTGGCTAGAGACCCAAGATTGGTTAGAGAATGAATCACATGAATGAAAGAATTGTGTACTAGGCAACAAATGCAAAGACCTTGTGTTGGAGCACTCCTGAAAGATCTCAAAAGAACAAGAGAGACAGTATAAGCTAAATATAGTGCATCAGGGGCTGCAGAAGTCATGCTTAGGAAATGACAACCTGCCTGTAAGCCTACAGAGTGGTTAAAAGAACTCAGCAGAGGCTTGAAGAAGTGGCCAACAGTTTCTGGCACAGAATGGTAAGAACTCCTCCTTTTATACAAAACTGGTCAAAAGCAGAGCAGGCGAGCCTGGCTCTAAATTTACCTGTTACCCACATCTACCATGACCCACGGCTTTATTCCCATGAACAGTCACTTTCCTGGGGCCTGTTTCTGCCATCTGGGCTGGGTTATGGGGTGACAACAGAGCACTGAAAAGTACCCAGGAATATCCAAGATCCATCTGAGCAAGGAATTTCAATATGCCCACTCATTCACTCACCCATGCTTTAACTCACTCCTACATTTGCCAACTCACTAGTCCATTAACTCATGTACTCACTCACCTACTCACCCAGTTACTCACTCACTTGCTTGTTTGCTCATTCTCTAACTCACCATATATTCAACAAATGTAGCCTAGCCCCACCTACTTCCTGTGCCTAGCAGAAGACGCTGGAATGAATTATTGTTGGCCTTGGGCAGGAAAAATCTGACAAGGATAACTGGGGAAGAAACTCAAAGGGTGGCCAATCTTAGAGGAGGCCTCCCTCCTGGACAGGGAATCAAGCACTCTGCTCCTTCACCTCTCTTCACCTTTAAGGTCACTGATACCATTACTGTTGCAGGTATCTTGGGGATCCTACAGAACCTGGAATCATCTACCTCCCACACCCCTGATCCATGTCCTTAGCTACAAAAGAAGACCACCTGACATGACCTTACAGAGTCATGTACAATGATGACACAAAGCCAGGCTTTCGTGACTCAGCCAGCACCTCAGGCTCTGCTCACCACTGAGCCTCAGAGGTCAGGAGATAGGCACGCGCAGGGCCCAGCTTAGCCTGGCAGACCCTTTCAGGCAGGGCTACAGGAGCAGGTCTCACAGCCAAGGCAACTGAGATGTATAAAAGGGTCACATGTCCTGATCTCATCCTGACAGGAATATGAGGGTGGCTGAGTGGGCTGGAGTTGAGTTTACCTCATCAAGAATTTCCTGACACTAGATGGGCCAGAAGCTGACATCAGAGGGAACCCCCCCCACACATACAAAAGAGAGCTCAGAAAATGAGGAGCCATGTGTCTTCTTAGCCAAATGAGCCTGCAGTATCTGTAAAAGGGAACCAACCATCTAGAGAGCTGACTAAAAGTTACAGCCATCAGACACTTCTGGTTCTCTCAGGAGCCCTCAGACTCCTAACAACCTGTGAGGTCTCCAAGGTTCACATATCTTAACTGTGACTCACAAAGGCCCAGGTTTCTTTTTAGACAGATTTCTAAATGTTTCATGCATGGGGAGACAAAAGCTTCCAATTTTTGCCTACTCTAAACCCCTTTGGTGATAAGACACAGTATATTCACCAAGGCCAATGGAGAACAGGAGGCCCAGAGACAAATGCTTCACTATAGGGGTATGGACAATTTTAGTCAGGTTGGCCTTTAGATCCCTCCACCCTTATACTGGGTATGTCCAGACCCATGGCCCCTGAAAGTCAGTCCAGTGGAGTCTGATAGGGGCTAGAGACCTGATGCACCTGTCTTTCCCTGCTCCAGTGATTTCAGCAGCCAGGTCCCACAAGCTCTCCTCACACCATCCAGAAGACCCCAGGCTTCTTCCATAACTTCACAGCCCAGACTCTGGTTCTGGGTCACAGGAAGTCTCTCATGTCTCCTTCCTCTTCAAGTATCCCAAGAGCTGCAAAGAAAGCAAGATCTAAGAGAAAGTTATATGTAAGGCTTAAAACCCTCTGAGGGCATGGAATGACTGCTACTATATCCACTGCTTGTGAGGTGTTCTCAGTTGACCATGATCTGACACACCCAGCTGCCCTGATTTACCATGAGCACCTGGGAGAAAACCATTAAAAGGAGGACAGAGAAAAGTGTGCTATGGCCTTAAGTACAGACCCATCCAGGCCCTTTAACTTCAACAGCAGAAAAACCAGCTTTAGAGTTACTTAGGTGTGACCTGCAGTTTGGGAATACAGACCAGCCAATGAGTTGAGAAAATGCATTTCCTGCCCCAGTCCTACTTTTTCAGTCCATATCTCCCTCAGGGCCTGGACATTGTGCAAGGCTAGCCCCCAAGGTGAGAACATTATCCCAGCACCTAGAGATTTGACCATCTCCTCTGTGCAATGGGTGCAATCTTAGTAGGTCTAGATAGACAGAATCCTCACAAGATCCAATAGACTCACCTACCACTGGGCTACTCCTTTGAAAGTTCATCTACCCTGACCCCACCATGGCCAAGGCCTGTAGATGCAGACGAGGATCAGAAAGATTCAGAAGGTTCCAATTGCTCCCAAGCTTGGAAGAGAAATGGACAGAAAGAGATTGTGACAGCCTGTGCATATCAATTGGGGACTTGGGGGAGGGAGAGTCTGAGTCCTTCAGTCACATTTGAGTCTTTAGGCACATTCATGAGATCAATTTAACAAGGCAAACTCCTCAGTTTGGTCTACTGCAACAAAAACCTGAGGTCAGAGGTCAGAGGACCACTGAAATAAATACATCACGAAGACAGCATTGCCTGGACTGACAAGGAGGTAGGACCACATGCAGCAACTTGTCAGTCTGATCAGGCTGCTCTTGCCCAGCATTGCCCAGTGGTCCTGCTGAGGCCAGGCTGGGAAAAGTTCTCCTAGGCAGACAATGAATAACTAGGGCTCAAAGTCACCAAGCGCCAAAGAGGGCTGATCTACTCCTGTCTGGTCTCTTTGTTCTTTGACTCCCTCTGGAAAATCTTAAGGTGAAGTGAGGTTTCCAGTTCCCAGTCTTACAGAGGTATCCACTGTGATGATGTTCTATGGCTGGGTCAGGAGCAAGTACCATGAGTTCCTGGGAAGGAGGGGAAGGAAAAGAGGAAGGAGAGACAAGCAGAGGACAGGAGCCCCACGTACAAGAGGCCAGGGTAGATGCTGACTTCAGGAGATCTGTGCATTCTCCTGCTGTGCAGCATGTGCTGAATGCAACAACTGCCAAGATTCAAGAGAGATTTTCCTCCTTGGCACTTCTGCTTAGCATTTGGACAAATAGTAATAGTATTGACCACTGTGCTTTACACTTTACAAACCCTTTAGTAAATTTGTCAACTTAGGATGGACAAGAATGTTCAGTATGGACCATATGTCTCTGGCCCCTACCTGCTCTACACCCAGTTCCCCAAGAACAGCCATAGGCCTTTCTAAAGTGGGAGTCACTCGAAGGAGTACATGCTATGAATTAAAAGGCTTCTTTAGCCTGGGGATATATCTCAATGGCACAGCACTTTCTGGGCAGGTGTATAACCTTAGGTTCACTGCCCAGCACTTTACACATATAGAAAGAAAGGAAGAAAGAGTGAAAAAAAAGAAAAGAAAAGAAAAGAAAGCAAAGAAAAGAAAAAAGGAAAGTCATGGTGCTGCAGGCCTGTAATCGCAAATATTCAGGATGATCACTAGTTCAAGTTATGCCTAACCTACAGATTAAGTCCAAGTCCAGCTTGGGCAAGTTAGTGAGACCTCAAAAAAAATTAAGAGCAGGGGCTAAAACTCATTGATAGAGTACCTGTATTTGTGTAACATGCAAAAGACTTGGTTCAATTAGCAGGTTCAATCAGCAGGGCTGACAAAATGCCCTATTGGCTGATGTGCAGTGTGCACCCTTGTTCCACCTGACTCTTCTCTGGGATCCCATCAGGCTTCTTAAAGGTCCCTGAAGGGACTATGCTCCCCAGATAGGATCTTCCCTTCTTATGAATTCTGAAATAACCATGTAAGGTAGTGTTTATGGATCCCCTAATGCAGACAAAGCTCTGAACTAAAAGAAAGTGGGGACTGTCACATGGAAGGTGTGCTATCACAGAAGCCCTTCTGGGGCTGCTATCCAAAAGCGAATGCAGAGTGGCTCTGAGTATGAGAAGCTGCACCTCAAATCTTGGACCTTAGGCAGCTGACACTGTTATGAGTGATCTCCTGGGTCTGGGATGGTCCTTGATCTCAATCCTACCAGCCTTAATACTTGAGCCATCTTCTTGCCTCCCGTGACCTGCCCATGGAAAGAGAACCCCTAACATGCCCAGGTCTCCCACTAACCCGTGGGAGTGCCTGAGAAAACTATGCCTTGTACATATATACATAAGGGATCATATACATGTACACACACACATACACACACACACACACACACACACACACACACACACACACAATAATGTACTTTTCAGCTCCCTGACTTCTATACCAGTTTGGGAAAAGTGACAGGCATTAATAACACAATTGCTTCTCTGAGCATCTTGGCAACCTCTCACAGCACATGTTCTCAGGTTTTCACCTGCCAGAGCTTTCACAGTGTTGATAAGTGGATCTTAGAAAGGGTTTTAAGCAGGGTATCTGGCTGTGATTTCTGTCATGTGAGCAGTGCTGACCTTCTGGAGGGAAGCTCATGGAAAACCACCTAAATTAACTTCCTGGGATCCAGGAATGAGCGTGACTCTCTAGAAGAAAATAAGAAAATTTTCTGAAAGAGAAAGAGATAAAAGCATCACACACAAAAAGACTTGAGTGGGCCAGAGAGATGGTTCAGTGGTTAAGAGCACATACTGGTCTTCCAGAGGACCTGAGTTTAATTCCTAGCAGCCACATCATGCAGCTCACAACCATCTGTAACTCCACAAGTGTTCAAAATGCAGAGAATAAGTTACCATGGGCTTATTGATAAATCAATAAGGTCCAGTTGATAAATCTACAATGCAACCCCTTCGCCTAAGGCTCAGGAAATATCACAGAAAAGGGAACAGAAACATTGCAAAAGCCAGAGGACCAGGATGCTTGCTGCTAGAGAGTATATTCTACACATGACAGGGAAGCTGCAGTCATAAAATCTTTACAATATGGTTGCCTAAACAAGACCTGCATAATGATGATACCAGATGACATACAAAATGGATTGGGGGGGTGTTCATAAGATCCCCCCTCTATATGGAGAGCTACAGGTAATCAATGGCTGCTAAGTGAGGGAGAATCAGTTTTCTTCAGGGACAAGCTCCCTGATAAGTTATCTAATCCTAAGTGGTCAGTCCTAAGCACATGTACACATGAACACCACTAAATGGTATGTATGTATGTATGTATGTATGTATGTATATATATGTATGTATGTATATGTGTATGATAATAATCATAGTAGAGCTCACAAAATTGAGAGGGGGTAGGGAAGGCTTCAAAAGAGTTGAATAGGGGAGAGGAAGGGATGAAAATGATGTATAGTCCTAGTGTATGAATTTCTCAAAAAAATTTTTTTATACTACAGTGTTAGATCACTTGCCTAGCATATATCAGGCCCTACTTTCAATCTCCAGTACCACAGTGTAAAAACTAAACATGAATTCACCTTAGGAATTAATGACTTCCATACATTTGCACAAGAAAAATGAAGACATATGTCCACAAAAATAAATGCACAAAAATGTTCACAGCAAATGTCATCCATAACAGCCCCCAAACTGGAAATAGCCTACGTGTTAATCAGTAGGAGAATCAACAAACCAATTATGGTTTATTTACATAATGGAATACTATTCAGAAATTTTTAAAAAACAAATGTTTTGATACCATAATGATAGTCCAGCAATGTTGTATAATTCTCAAAGCATTAATCTGAGTAAAAGTATACACACAAACACACACAAAATACTGTATGACTCAATTTATATGGTATTGTAGACTATTTAAAATTAAACAACTGCTACATAAGAAAACATGCTTAGTTTTCTCTATATGATAAAATCACACATAGTACTCATAAGTATTTTGTGTTTCTATAGTTATGAGACATAACTCTTAAACAAGTACCTCTGAATCCACCATCCAATCTCACTAGAACATTTCAGAATGTTCCAGCCTCTCCCACCCTCCTCAAAATGTCTGTATTCTGAATTTTTTTTCTCTCTTTTAAAAAGTAGCTCTACCTGTGCCTGGTGAGCAGCCCTGTAATCCCAGCTATTGCAGAGGCTGAGACAGGAGGGATGAGTTTAAGGCCTTCCAGTATTACAAGACCAGCTTAAGCAACTAAGTGAGAACCTGTTTCAAAAGGACTGAAATGGTTTCTATAGGGATGGCTACTATAAGCATATTGTTTATAAATCCTAGAGATGAAGTATGAAAATATTTACCTTTAAAAGACAATGCCAAACTTGGTCATTATTTAGACTTTTAATTTTTTATTATATTTTATTTTTACTTTTGTGTATGTGTCTCTGTCTGTGCATATGCGCATGTAAGTACAGGTGTGAGAGGAGGCCAGAGGCCTCAGATCCCCCTGGACCAGGAATTACAGGTGGTTGTGACCCTCCTGTATGTGCCTAACCGCTGAGTCACCTCTCCAGTCCCATACATAGCCTTTTAAAATTTACTTATGACTTTTCTACAATAAATTCAGTTTACCATGAATAACGGTCCAGGAGCCCACTATAGACCTTAGGCTACTTAGGATTTTTAATTGTTAGGGTAGAAATACTTAAGTAGATGGTACAGTAAGAGAGTTGAAACTTACCATCCTCTCTGGTTCCTGGTGATACCTAGCATGACACCACCTCTGGTATCCAGCTGGTACTTTTCAGACAAGGAGCATGAGAACCACTGGGTGGCGCAGGGATACTTCAAGGTGCATGTCGGTAGGAGGGAATGTGGGATGCCGCGAGAGTCCAGTGCTTCTTGGTATGCTTCACAAACGCCCGGAAGCCCCCCAGTGAAGAAAAGGCGCGCTTGGATCGAGATCCTGCAAGAGCTGGGGCTGCTTGTTGGTGGCCGCAGAGATGCGGCAAACGACTGGGTGGACGCCACGTGGGGCTGCAAGGAGGTGGTTCCGAGAGCGCGCACCCTGGATCTCTGCCTTTCTCCAGCCACACATGTGCAGGCCAGGCTGGACTACTCCGAGGTACTAGAGCTGATAACGCGCGGATGGTGAGTAGCAGAGGGGCATACCCTCAGAGGAGCAGGCCACTGGCGCCTGCTCAGTGTGCATTTGCTCAGCCCGCCCAAGTAGGGCGGGCCCCTAGTCTCCTGGGTAAGCCTGGTTCCCTAGGTCCCGCTGGGCGGGCATAGCTGTAGCTGCTGGCAGAGCTCGGGGCTCCGGCTCTCGCCCTCCCACCTTCCCCTGCAAGCAGAAGCAGCTCCCAAAGCTTTTCAACAACTAGCTACATTTGTTGCATCCTAGTATGTGTATGTGCCCACCTACCAGGCCATCGAAGATGTCTTCGCTGCTTATTTCCTGAAGCCCCTATACTAGCTCTGCCACACTGCAAGGGGAACAACTTCTGGGATGTGCTGGGGACAACCTGGCCGGGCTGGCTGGAGCACTTGGCTGAGAGGCTGGCCTGTGCAAGCGGCTCTCTGTAATCCCAGTTGCCATCAAGGTCCTGGGAACAAACCATTCTCCAACCTGAAGAAAGCCTAGAATAAGTTGATCTGAGTCAGGCTCCCTTCGAGAGGCGAGCTTGGTGCTTCCGGCTCTGAGCAGCCCAGCCATGGGCCTAATAGTCCAGTTTCTGGAGGCCCTGATGACCAACATCAGCCAGGGCCTTCAGGAGTGTGCCAGCCTTCCTGAATTCTACTTCCTTATTCCCAAGGTTCAGATATAGCCAACTGCTGGATATCTCCCAGGTCTACCCTCCCTCCACCAGTAGCATGGCTTGCAAGACAGCCCCCTAAGGACTACCCTTGTCAGACCTTTATCCATGTTTGGTATGTGTGTTCTCCCCCAACCCCATTTTGGTGTTTTTAATTAGTATACAAATTAATGGATTTCATTATGGGATTTTCACACATAGTTTTTGTTGATTCTCTTCCCCCACGTCCCTATCCCAATTCCTTGCCCCCTTGCACTACTTCTCCCAACACACTAGCCTCCCTTCTGTTTCCCTGCCACATGTATTTTGTTACCCTACTTTTGTTCCTTTTTTTCTTCCTTTTCTCTGTCCCCAATCCACCCCTAAGACCTCTTTTTCTACTCTGTGGCTTCCTTTCTACTACTACTACTACTACTACTACTACTACCACACGCGTGCACTTTAAAAATTAAAGTTCTCTGTGTTCCCAATTGCATTCCCCAAAGTTTTAAGGAGTACTTAAAGGGAGCTAAAGGCAAGAGAATCTTGTAGAGCTATCAAAGTTTCCCACATTTAGGCTGATGAGATGGCTCAGCCTGATAGCCTAAGTTTGATCCCCAAGCCTCACATGGTAGGAGAGGACCAACTCCTATGTGTCTTCCCCCCAAAATAAAAAAAATGCAATTTTTAAGAGAACTTAATAAAAGCTATCCACATCCACCTATTCCAGGGTAGAGTCTCAGGCATTTTGTGGGATTTGAGATAATGACGGGTGTCAGACTGAACCTCCTCTGGACTGTGCATTAGGGTCCTCCTGGGCAGGGTCACTCAGGTTTTAGCAATCCTCTCCCACCCTTCCCCGCACCTCCCTCCTGCTCCCTCCACATCCCCTTCATCTCTTCCCCCTCTCAGACCCACTCCCTCCTCCTCCCATCCCTTACCCTTCCCATACCCATCCCCAGATGAACTTCTACCACAGCCAGAAGACTAGGGGAGGCAGGTTGATTCTGGAGCATTGCTCAGTTGCCCCAAAAGAAAAAGACTCTCCTGGTGTAACTTGTTTGCAGCACACTTCAGTATGTGTATTTGGTCAGTTTCCATTAAATATACTGTTTGTTAAGTGAGGAATTTCAGATTTAAGGTTTTTTTTTTTTTTAAAGAAAAGAAAAGATGGGCATGGAGGCACATACCTAATAATCCCAAGTCTCAGGATGCTGAGGCAGGAGGATTGGGAGGTGGAGGTCAGTTTAGGCTGCATAAGTTTAGGTAAGCCAGAATTACATACTCTTCTGTCCCAGGAGGAGGGGGTAAAGAGGTCGTATGCCTAAAATTTGAGAACATGAACTTAGACCATTCCAAGCATTGTATTATCCTGTTGCCCGTTAGACATGACTAATTACACAATAGTCATTCTTGGTGAACTTCTGCTTGACCTTAGGAACTTGGCCAAGTGAGGTGGCTGTAACAGCCATTACCAACTCATCACAACCGCACTCAAGATAAAGCTTTTTAGCATTGTTCTAGGTGTTTGGAATTAGAAGGGAGTAAAAGTAAAACAGCCAGGGAGGAGGTCATGTTGCTTAGACACTTCTCCTTTTCCTTCACTCTGAGGGTACCTACCCAAAATCTCCAGTCTTCAAAGAGGAGGTGAATAGAACTTCTGAGTTTAAAGATTCTTGCTTACTTCTGCAAAATATATGACAAATTTGGGAAGTCATGATTTTATTTAAGCAGATTTTTTTAAAACCTGGTGTAGAAAAATACTTAAGCTAGAGATAAATGAAAAAAGACATTTTGAATCGTGAATTTTTCATTTAGTGAAAGTGACTATTAATGTTCTGTAGTAAAACACTCCAATCTTTATGTAAATGTATCTGTCACATAGTGCTTTGACTCACGTGTGTTGTGTGGTAGTGTGAGAAATATAGATCTATATTGAGTTAACCTATTGATTTCCATATACATTTTGTAATTGAACATGAAAATGTCAGAAAGTTATTTTATAATGGAAGAAATATTGCATATATGAAGTATTTCATTGATGCAAGAGGGCATAATTCTACATTTTTACAGCTGTGAAAAGGATGTAGCCTATAGTCATGACTCATCATAGCTGATAGTACTTTTAATTTCTTTTTTAAAGATTTATTTTTATTTTTAATTTTATGGGGAGCTGTGTGCATGTGGATGTGGGTGCCTGTGGAGGCCTCCACAAGGAGGCCTCTGCAAGAACGGTGCATGATTTAAACTACTGAGCCATCTCTCTAGCCCGCAACCATTTTTAATTTCTTTTTCATTTGCTTATTATTACTGTATGTGCATATAATATCTGGGGGGTTCAAGTGTGCCATGGTGTGCATGTGGAAGTCAGAGGACAACTTCTTGAAGTTGGTTCTCTCCTTTCACCTTTTTGTAGTTTCTTTTCTTTTTAATAATTTATTGAGAATTTCATATAGGCACATAAGTTGTTTTGATCAAATCCATGCCCACTCCCTCCCCTCCAACTCCTCCCATATCTCCCATCACTTACATCACTTATTTCTAATAACTTCATGTACTCTTCTTTTTTTAATGAGGCATTTTACTACTCTAACATTCCACCCTCTGAAATTTTTAGTAACCCTAAAATTTTTTAGTAACCCTAAAATTTTTTAAGGACTACATAAGAGCTCCCAAATACTTTGGACATTTTTGGCATTTGGAATGGAGTATATTGGTAAGAGGCCCAAGGACATTTTGACTTTTAGCCAAGGAACTGGCTACTTTTCTTTGGGGTCTTTTTACACTAACTGACTAGCCAATTCCTACCTCCTAGTCTTATCACACCATCCTCTGAAGAGGCTATCCAAATTATTGATAGGGAATCAGGCCGCAGACAACTCTGGCTTCTTCCATGCTGAACAGGGATGCAGGGTGAGGCAGTTGGGGTACCCCTTCAGTGGGTTTATCTAAAAGACTCACAAATTGCATAAGTCTTATCTGTAGGGGGAAAAGAAAGCCCTTTACTGGTGAATAGGAGATGTGAAGAAGTAAAGGCAAGAGTAATTAGCATTAAAAGTTCCAGAGAGGGAACTAGAAAAAAGTCAGAAAGGAGAAATTTCAAATGCTCATATGAGAGTCCATTGGAATTTCTTGACGAGAGCCTCCAAAAGCATCCCTCTATTGAGTTCCTCCTCATTTTTCTTTTGTCTGCCAAAGCTGGACTCGAGAGTGATGGATTCATGATTTGCTTTCAGGTATTTTGATATCTGTTGGAGTGGTTAGAATCAGTGTCAGTTCCCTCTCAAAGGCTTTGAGATAACTGGTGGGAGGTCCTTTTAATAAGATGATGCTATTCAGAAGTCTCTTCTGTCTGAAACAACTACCATCATCACAACTTCAGCTGAGCCTGATCGCTAAACATCGTCACAATTGGGGTTGTTTATGATTGTGCTCATTCATTAAAGGAGGGCCAAGCAGGGCACTGGACCCTCACCAGATTACCCAGCCACTCTTACCAGCCAACTGTATGTAATTTGACCCTAATAACACATGGCCTCCTGGATTTGGGGAGGGATAAACTATACAATCTGGGGAAGGCTAGGAAGAGAAGGCATGATCCATGCTGGGTAAAGACTTTCCAGTGTGCATACCCTCAGGTCATACATACACCTCAGCAACCCCTCAGTTATCTTGGTAAGTAAGCATCAAAGGTCCTGCTCGACCATGGCCGTTTTCAATTGGAAGCATGGAGGAAATGTTTCCTCCGAGTTGACCCTCCTCTTTGTAGACCGAACACTGGTTCAAACCCATCTGGTGGGGTCTCCATGGCCTCCTTGAACAAGAGGACAGGTGACTCACCACAGTTACAGGACATTTTGAGAGATGTTCCATAGTCCCCTGGAACTTAGTTGACCTTGGAGTGCAAGGGACAAAAACTGTCCTTTAAGTCCCTTTGACTACATTAGTATAGGCCTCAAACTATGGCTGTTAAATGTCCAATAAGGTTAGTTCCACCAGTCTGGTACTTTTAATTACCATGTGCTATGTAGATAAAGCTTAGGTTAAAAACCAAATGTTCTCAGATAAACCTTGACTAGATATATATTTTGTTCCCTAAACTAGTTGACTAAACTATGACCTTAGAAAACTTACGATTTTGTGTATATTATTTTTGTCTCATCCTTTATATATCATAACAAACCTACACAGACCTTCATCAGTTGCTTAGGATTTCTCATTTTTTCTATTTTGGAAAATACCTCCATTCCCATATCCTTTTAACATCTTTTACATTCTCATTTTCTTTTTTGTAGTAACTGTAAGGCATAATAATATTAACAAATAAATTTTCCATATGTTGTGAGAATATTTTTCCTGGGGATATCAAGCAATGCTTATTCCCTTTTAAGGTTCTAGTGTCAAACCAATGTTTGATTAAAGTTTTACTGGGGAACCAATGAATTTACTGAGCTTACTTACCGAGGGGTTGCTGAGGAGTATGAATAACCTGAGGGTATGCACACCTGAAAGCCTTTACCCAGCATGGGTCAAGCCTTCTCTTCCTAGCCTTCCCCAGATTATATACTTTATCTTTCCCCAAATCCAGGAGACCATGTGTGACTAGGGCCAAATTACATACGGTTGTCTGGGAAGAGTGGCTGGATACTCCGGTAAGGGTCCAATGACCCTGCTTGACCCTCCTTTAATGAAGAAGCACAACTGTCAACAAGCCCAGTTGTGACGATATTTAGCAATCAGGCACGGCTGAAGTCATGATGATGGTAGTTATTTCATGCAGAAGAGACTGCTGTACAGTATCATCTTATTAAAAGGACATGGACTTTAAAAGGATTTGGTGCTAGGATCCACACATGAGGGAGAACATATGTCTTTTATTTTTCTGAGTCTGTGTTATTTCACTTAGTATAACAGTTTCTAGATCCATCCATTTACCTGCAGATTTCACTACTTCATCTCTCTTTACTGTTGAATAGAACTACATTATGTAAATATACCACTTTTTTGTTAACCACTCGTCAGTTGAGGGGCACTTAGGTTACTTCCATCTCTTAGGTATTGTGAAAAGAGCAGCAACAAACATGATTGTACAAGTGTCTCTATAATAGGATGAGTCCTTTGGGTACATGCCAAGGAAGGGTATAACTGGGTCATATGGTAGGTTCATTTTTAGTTTTTTAAGAGCTCTCCACACTTTTCCATAGGGGTTGCACGAATTTGCAATCCCACTAGCAGTGAATGAGCATTCCAATTTCTCCACATCCTCGCCAGCATTTGGTATCATTTGTTCTCTTGATCCTAGCCAGTCTGGTTGGGGTAAGGTGATACCTTAGGGTGGTTTTAATTTGCGTTTCCGTAATGACTAATGATGTTGAACACTTTTTGAGATGGTTCTTAGCCATCTTTATTTCTTCCTTTGAGAACTCTCTGTTTAGATCTTTAACCCATCTTTTTATTGGGTCATTTGGTTTCTCAAGTCTGTTTTTTTGAGTTCTTTATATATTCTGGATGTTAAACCTCTGCCAGATGTGTCACTGGTGAAGATTTTTTTCCCACTCTTTGGGCTTTCTCTTCATTTTATTG